GTTCTACCTATTTGTGCGGTACAAACAATGGGAGAGATCATCAAAGGGATTGTTCAGAGAATGGAATGGGTTTGCTCCCTGTAAATTAGATTCTGCAGCTTACTGAAAGCATCCTTGTCTCTAACGTAATACTGTCATTCTAAATATTTCAGATTTATTTAGAGATTTGAGATTAAATCCTCTCTCCATAGAACCAATGGAATAATTTATTTGGGTCTAAATTTTTTTAATTTCTAGTCTGAAAAGAAATCTTCCAAAATACCTGTATTAAAGAGGGGAGCTTATATCGTGACTGTGCTGAGTAAGAGGGATTAACCTGTAAGTGGAGTAGTTCAAACTTGATAGCAGATGGAGTGGGGAGGATGGAGAGTTTATACTGACTTGCCATCACATGTCAAATTGTCACTGTTTAGTGTTCACTGAGGATGTTACTCTTGTGATTGCTAGCATTTAACACTTTTCACAGATAAGGAGAACAACCTTCCCTGAGTATAAAAGTCACCAAAAATTAATGCCAACTACCTGACTAATGTTTGAGTGTTATTGTTGTTTAGGTGGACATGCAGATGTATTTTGGAAGTTGCTCTTTTATCAATGCCCTTTTTTAACCTCATTTCTGATTGTGTACTTGTAATTTAGTAAAGACAATATTTTTTAAAGGAAAACTTATCATGTTAGTTCCTAAATGTAGGAGCCGAAATAAATTTTTCCTTGCCTGCACTCATCTTTTCTTACTGTGAGTCAATACCTAGTAAATTTATTCTGGCTAGGAAGTCCTTTAAAGTCTAGGAACCAAAACAGATTGCCTGGACTTTTTTTTCATTCCACAAACAAGATAGGACTGTGTATCCATAGGTGTTCTGCTACAAACTGCATATAAAAGGTTAGTTAATGCAGCAGAATTACAGAAAAAAAAAATGTCAGTTCTAGAAATTCAGCTGTACTTATGTTTAGTGAGGTTTTTTTAAATTTTAACTTGGTAATCCACAAGAGTTGAAATACTTTTTGTTGTGAAGAGCACAGTCCATTATTTCTCCACTAAATCACGACACAATATTCTGTATTGATTTTAGCTCTGAAATCCATCAAGAGCTATCTGCTTACAGAACAAGAAAATCTGAAAAGGCAGAAAGCGTTGACATCAAAACCCCTTGACAGGCATAATCAATATTTCCAGCTGTAATGGAGATCCCTGACACTTGGAAGAATAAGAACAGAGTGGAGATTCTAGTTCATGTTTTATGTAGTTTATTCTGAAGTCTCTGAGGAGTTCAGCTTTGAATTTGAATTTCATTTTGTTGAGGAGTCTTTTAATTGACTTGAGGAGACAAAAAACTAAATCTGCTCTGGCAGTCAACTCTGAAAACTTGTATTTCTTTCTTCCTATTGACTACTGAGCTTTAGTAAAATACTTTATTTTTAATATTTTCAGGCTTTTTTTTGTAATGCATATATGTATTAATGATGAACAGGGAAACTGAACTGCATGTTTATGCATGCATGCATATATGTATGGATTTACATGATAATCCATTGTACTTAAATAAAAAATGAGCTGCTCTTTCTTCTTTCTGTGAAGAAGGAGAAAGAGAGCTCCGAGGCAGGTGTCTTCTGCAGTCCCATCCCACTGTCACGATTGGTCTTGGATTTAAAGTGGAAGAGGAGGAAAAAAAAAAAAATTTAAGTTGCCTGAACTAGGAACACTATACTGTACAGTTTGCAAACACAGGCTGAGAGAAGAATTTTACGGAGGCTCCAGTTGTTCAAAAACTCAGAAGCGGTAGAAGTAAGCTTCTTTCTATCCCATTATTATCACTTCTGTGTATGTGCACTGCTCAGTTTCAGGGTTTTCAAAAATTGTGGAGTTTTGGCTGTTTTTTTTTTTTGTTTTTTTTTTGGTTTTTTTTAGGCTACTTGTACTTTGTTTTTGAAATATTTTTTTTTTCAGTGCAAAGGATTCCTAACTGCAATTGATGCAAGCCTGCAAACTGAGCGGTAGAAATCAAGCAGAATGTCTAGAAGATGAGGAACAGTTAGTGTGAGTTTCATCTGCATTAATTCACTCATCTGCAAGTTAGAAGTCTGAGCTAGCTCTTTTCAGAGACAATTGAAAGAAACAGGATGAATCATCCTCTGCAGGTGTCTCTTTTCTCTCACTGCTTAGCAAGATCCCTGAGACAGTTTTTGACATATAGTCAGCTGACATGAATCCCACCTGCAATGACTACTTGTGGAAAAAGTTTGACTTAACTCTTTGAAATTAAAGCACTGAGAACTCTTAAGTCAGAGGAAGGGTGGAAGGAAGTTCTCCAGGGCCTCGTACGCTGTCCTTGCTGTTGTACTGTCCTTATTTTTTTTCCCTATTTTTTGTTACTTCCACCCTTTCAGCCTCTACAGTACGAGGTGGTACTTCTACAAGCAGTGATCTAGTAAACTACACAAATGTGATTCCTCATTAGAAACCAGGGTACTTCCTACATGGATCTTGTTGGAGAGGGGAAGGAGAAGTATGTCGTAATGTAAATCAGGTGAATCATAAAGTATATCTGTAACATAGATTATTTAGGGCCAATTAAGCAATGCTAATTCTGCTTTATCTGAGCTTTGTGATCTTTCCTCACGCACACAGATGCATACAGAAATCTCTATATTAGAACACATATTTTTGAAATAAGCAGACTAATAAAAAACAAGATTATCATCAGTGTCACTAATACCTGTTCAGTTTGTTGAATTTGGAATAGTCAGAGCCCACAGAAATCCCTGTTTCTGGGAGTATCTGATAGCAGCTGAGGTGTTGATAGCATATTGTGAGCTAGAACAAAGTTCTTCAGAAAATTTCACGTTGTCAAAAGAACATAGGAGTCAAATCTCTCAGCTTTATTCTGAACTTTAAAAAGGAACATTCCTTAGTATGATACATGTTTTTCATATAGCTTGAATTGTCCTACCTTTCTTTCCTTTGAATATGTCTTCAAATTTATTCTTTTGGTTGGAATGCAAAATAGAGTTGTAATTCTGTAAGTGTTTGGAAGGAATGACATCTTAGATCACTGCTTACATTATTTCCCCTGTCAGGAATGATGCTTTGAAGGTATTAACTGAAATCTGAAGACACCCAGGGTTGCCTCTGTATTCAATGAAAAGAAGGTCCTGCAGAGGGTGAATCCGAACCCCTCTCTGACCATGCAGTGAAATAAAATACCTGATTCAGGATGTTAGTGTAGATGCTCCTTGCCTATCTGTGTTTTTTAACTTGGGAAGTATGCTTTATTTATTGCTAAGGTTATTCCTCCAGCAAGAATCCAGTAAAAATATTGTAAACATTGTTTTCAGCCAGCCAATTTGAATCTGGACGGTGTCAAACTGTATGATACAATCCTTCTCTGTATTGCAGACATTTACATGAAGCTTCTAACATTTTGATTTTTTTATCATCTGTGATTTGAAAAATATAGCAGGGAATTCTCAAGATTTATGTGTGTACTAAATGGCAGGCAGTTTCTTTGCTCCTTGTATGGATGCTAATTCCAGTGTTTGTCTCTCCTTTGGAAGTCAGATGCTCTTCTGTTTTGCTTAAGGTCATGTTTTGTTTAAAAGAATCTATGGATTCTTGATAACTAACTACAGGTTGAGGTCTGGATTCCCTCTTCCTTCCCCTGCCAAAATTAGACCTTTTTCTATCACATGTTTTTTTTTTTCCCACTCCCTTGCTTAAGTATTCTTTGTGGGTTACTTACCTTTAGCTCAGGACTCTGTTTAATTCACCAGACCTTTTTGATGCATATTTTCAAGGTCTCTTTTATAATGTGAGGAATAAGAAAACTTGAAATTGATACAGCAAGTAGCAAGGCTGATTTCCTGTAGCATTTTCTTGTCCTTTGTGCTTTTTTTCCAAGTTGGCAACAGTTACAGAGAGTGACACCATGTGTTAAGGTGAAGAACTTTACTTTTTTTATTTCCCATTTCTTCTTCAGTAATCTCATCCCTTACAGTGTTTTTATTTTATCATCCATCAAATGTTAGATTTTCTGTATCCTTGCTCTGTCATGTTTTTTTTATTGTCCATGTATACATATGTGGAAAATTTCCATGCATGCATTTTACAACTCACTAGTTTATAGCTAAATGTCCTTCAGAGAAGTTGCAGTATTTTTAAACAGTTTCTTTTACTGATAAATTTGTGTTTAAATCTTGTTCAGTAATTTAAGAAATACATGTCTGGAAAAGAAGTGTTGGTGAAAGTGGATGGAAACCCAGAGGGGTCTCCATAGGAAAAGAAGGTAAAAGGATAGTACTGTAAAGATGTTGAGTATGAGGATCTCTGGTGGACATGTACTGTAATGCGAGGAATAGAAAGGCTGTCCCTATTTCTAAGAAAAAGAGGTAAATGGTAAATAAATGAAAGGTGAAATTGAAAAGCAGGATTTCTTGGGGAAAGGAAAAGGAGGCACTTTAAGCCAATGTGTAGAATGCATTTCAGTCAGGGCATAAAAATACTTAAAAGCAATATTTTGCTGTTGGTATAGTTTCTGAGATTGAGCATCAGGTAGGGTAAAACAGAGGCTTGCATGTGTTAGTTACCTAGTCATAGGTGCTTGAGGGGCTGGGAAGCCAAATCTGATTTCAGGATGTGTGTGTCCCAGCGATGACCCCTGCTGACACTGCAGGTGCAGCAGTGTGCTTTCAGGGGAGGAGGAGTTCAGCTGCTCGGTGATGTTTTCTGCTTGAAGATCTGTTTCATGTTTCTCTTGAGGAAAAGGTACTAGGTTGGATGGAAGCACTGTAGAAGTCAAATCTGCCCAGGGCCTGTCAGACCACATATGAGCCAGCCCATGGGTGCTTTGGAGGAAGAGACAAGGAATGTTAGTAGGAAGAAAACCTTTGTTTCATACCATTGCTAAAGAAAAGGTGCTATGCTGAATCACAGAGTCTTGCTTGTTTGGTAATAGTAACATATTCTCTCTTTGCCTCCCCTCTGTTTCTGTTGGTTTGTTTAGGTTGAATTTTCTTATCCTCCCCTAAAGCTTGGAGAAGGACATGACAGCCACAGTTTACCAGAGGAATGGAAATATTTGCCGTTTCTTGCCTTACCAGATGGCGCTCACAACTACCAGGAAGGTAAGAAACCAGAGAGGAAGCTGTATGTACTACTACTTCTGCAACCAAAAGAAAAATCCTGATATCTGAATAGTTGTTCAACAATTCTTCTCACTGTTAGACTTCTTGTGCTTTTTGTTTAAGCTGGGAAATAAGTTGGCAATGATATATTGCTTCAGAGTTAAAGTGAAAGTAGATCAGAAAGGTGTACCTCCTACATCAGATGTCAGTAAAAGCTTAAGGGTCACATACCACTTGTGTGTAGTGCTAGCACAAAGCAAGGCTACTGGCTTCCTCAGAAGTTCTTTGAAGGGGGAATAAACACTTGAGTAAAGCCTAATCCAGTTTTGATGAAAAGGAAAAATTAAATTCTAAAATTCAGCTTTGTAATGTATGTAGTAATTATGATTCTTTTTTTTTCCCCTCCACTAATTTAGAGATTCTTAGAATGGCCTACAAGTACTGATAGTTGCATTTTTACAAAGAGGATGACTTGGTACAGGTAGTAGTCCTAAAGGCTTTAGAAAACACTAGGTGATCTCCATAATAAAACTTGTTCAAGCTTTGGTATAAACAATCCCTCTCTCTGTTGGACTTAGTACATATGGGATTGTCTCTTGTGTTTACTTTATTACTATGAAGCAAACAAAAAATTAATAGTGGGCTTCACAACAGTTTTTATGCATGTGTTGAAAGGCAAACAGTTGTAAAGTCCTCTACTTAGGATTATAGCAACTTTTTTGCAGTAGTAGCAAGTGTGTGTGTATATGTATATGTGTGTATAACTCCAGCCATAAAAACCTTTCTTGTGTCATATTTTATAGAGACTTTTTTCTTTCATGTCACACTTGCACAGAGACAGTAATTATTTTGTGTGAGCCTAGGATTCACAAATCCTTTTTGTTAGCATAGCGGTGCTGTTGCATAGATGTCTACCTTGGCAGTGGTAACAGCTACTCTAATCTTTCACCTCTATATGTCCTCCTTGGTGGTGCATGTTTCTTTGTGTTGTTTGTTCTTTTTTGTTTTGTTTTGTTTTTTTTTCCCCTATCTTCATGGCATTTATCTTCTTAATGGCATCACATTCCCAACCGTACACCTGGTCTCATGGTGCCTTGTCTTTGCTCCTCCATACAGAACTGGGAAAGCAGCATGCCTGTAGGTTTCAGTGGTGTTTCTCTGCTCTCAGGATCTGCTTCTGAGAATCTGTCAGCACACTTTTAGGAGCTTGGTCAGGCTAAACATGAGGCTGTTGTCAGAATATCCATATTAGCACAGCTGGAGGTTCTACAAAGCACCTTGCAATTTGGAAACTAATTTGGGTGCAGCCATAGCTTTATAGATTACTTTTTCTTTCTTTTTTTTTTTAAAGTCTTGGAAAATAAGTGTGCCAATATTTTCAGCAGTAAATCTTTTACAAGTGATGCTGAAAATAAAAGTATTGAACTGTTAATGACTTATGAAAGTCTTGTCTTTTTCATAGATACTGTGTTTTTCCATTTGCCGCCGAGATGTGGGGATCAAACTACAGTATATGGTGTTTCTTGCTATAGGCAGATTGAAGCAAAGGTAACTTTCCAAGTTGTGAATTATATTAATGAAATAATAGTCTTGATGCATTAATAACCCTACAATTCAGTGGCTTGTGTTACACTAACAGTCAAACTGCATGATCAGCTTACATTAATCTGTGAAAATGTGCACAGTATGTGACTACAGAACTTGAACTATTTCTTTTCCTTCTGTCAGCAGACATATTGTGAACTTTTGAAACGTTCAAGGCAACTGAAAATCATGTTTTGGTTCTTGAGAGCTATTCTAGGCATCAGCACCAAGTAGCAAAATGAAGCTGATGGTCTATCAGCTGGCCAAGTCATGTTTTTAGGAAGTAGGCCTCTGGGGTGGAAAAATCTGAAATTTCTCCAGTTTGTGACCATGAAGAATTTTAGCGTATTTCCTGGGATCTGACCATGCACATGTACAGATGTTTCTCTTCATCTACCTCCATTGCCAAAAGTACACTTGCAGACTAGACTAGAATCTTCCCATTCATTGTAGCTGTTTACTGATACTGCACTTCTAGCAGTAAAGCTGAAAAATTGATGAGATCTACAGTGCTCACCTGATCACACTGAGGAAATTATGTACTTGATCTACTAGAATCTGTCCGTATTTTCAAAAGTAGTAACGGTAGTATGATCTGTGCACTTACAATTGAGAAGTTATTACGAATTTATTTGAAAATTACTCCCTTTTCCAGTGAAATGCCAAGAATCTGGAATGCTATGTGGGTTTGATTTTTTAAATGAGTCATGTATTCAGAAGATGTAAATGCTCTGTTTTAGTGTTAATCATACCTTGGTTATATTTCAAGTTCCTGTTTATGCTATAGGAGAAATTTTACACATGCAGATTCTAATACAGTTTCTTCTGAAATAAATCCATGTTGATTTTAGTTCAGTTATTATCTTTGCAGCCAGTGTTCACTGTATTCTGTGATTTAGAGTCTTGATCTATTTAACTGTGTAATAACTTGGATTTATTGTGCTCTTGATTCCAGTTTATGCTGTTTAGTTACCAATTAAGAAGATAAATAGATGTTTAAAATGAACTCTCTGGAACAAGTAGAATATAAAACAATGTGTTTCATATGACAGCTTTAGCATTCTTTCCATCTATCCTTTTTGATGTGTGGGCTGCAGTCTGCACACATGCTGTTTTGTACAATTACGTGAACCACTTGGCTGTATTTCTGCCCCTGCCCTTTCTAGGTGCTGTTTAGTGCTGGGACCATTTGGTCTGGCTGAGAATCTAGTTGATTCTGCAGGTGGTACCTCCTTTATTTTATGGGTGGCTGAAGAAGATCCTTGAGTATAAAGCAAACAATTTCTAGGTGGAGACTTTTCAACCTGGTCCATTTTCCCAGATAACATTAGAGAAGAATGAATGATGTGTTGTGACTTCTCTTCTGTTACATTACCCTGAGTTAAAATGCCATTGCCCTTTTCAGAGCTATTGACTTTTTCTCATGCTAGTGATTTTTAAACAGTCCACTGCCTACCATCACAACTACATTTGGATCTTTGCTGTGCACAGTGAGATGACACCACAGCTCTGACATATCAGTGTGATGACCGTTTTCACTAGGTAAAGGCATACTGCTGCATGGTTTGGATAGTCCACCATTGAAGGCAGTCAGTTTTAGGATTTTTGTTCAAATAAGGGGGTGGTATGTGGCAACTAACCGATGAAATAATTATTTTTGAAATTGTGTGTGGATAAAAATACTGTAATACTTTTATTTCTTAGGCATTAAAAGTACGGCAAGCGGACATCACTCGAGAAACAGTACAGAAAAGTGTGTGTGTTCTCTGTCAGCTGGTAAGAATATTTAAGTCCCAAACCACTTTCAAATAACATATTAACAATTATTTGTTTTCCATGTTCTTGTCTGGAACTTTGGGCTTCAAACACATCTCTTTAAATCATTGCAGAGGATAACAAAATACAGAAATAAAATTGAATCAGAAGGCTACAGCATTTGAGTGAGCTGCCTTGAATTGGTATCACTTTTTAAGAGTAATTGTAAAAGTGTCTGCCTATTGTCGGGGACCGGGATATCTTTGTGCACTTTTGATTATTCTTAAGTGCTACTAACTTAATTTCATGCAGTAGGATTGAGAGGTTTGGCCATTATAATAACTGAAGAGTGGCTATTGACAACTGTGAAAGAGGTTTTAAGATAATCACACATACATGTTGTTTCTGTTCTGAAGAAACATCTTATATTTCTACCTGTTTGGCCAAAGCTACTGATCACCAGGCAGGGAACAGAAATTCTTTCTGGACTTGAAGAAAGAACTATTATCAGAACTGCAGGAGCAGTGTTAAATAATGAAAGTACCTTTCCAGAAAGACATTCAGTGATGGTATGGTATGTTCAAAGGGAAAGAAGGTAGAATTATCATTTATCATTTAAAATGAGCACAGGAGAAAGATGCTGCGAGTTAGCAACCAAGGACTGCCCCTTCATGAACTCTATGTATAATAATGTGTCTATATTGCAAGATAAGAATGAGAGAAGATTAAAGTTCAAAATTTAGTGACTAAACGAGTTTTTTTCACTGACTTTTATGTTTGTTTTTCTTCCAAGCCTTTGTATGGGTTACTTCAGGCAAAGCTGCAACTCATTACACATGCATATTTTGAAGAAAAAGACTTCTCGCAAATTTCAATTCTGAAGGTAATTTTTAAGTAATAGCCACAGGAAACAAAGCTTTCAGTGTATGGCTATGGACTTCAGTGTTTTCAGTTGGTGCTCAAATATTCCATTTGCATAAGTCATTCAGTTATTCAGCTCTTGTAATAAGTTAACATAGACTAAACAAACTACCCTAATCTGACAGAGGGTCAACTTTCTGATTTGCAATGAAATACAAGAAAGAGCATGATTGTCAGCCTGTATCTCCATTGACTCCATTAGTAAAATTTTACTTTCTTTCTGGAATAGGATGCTGAAATCCTCAAATAAGTGAATTTTAATTTATTCTGGATTTCATGTGACCATGTGCCATTAACTGCTTCGGGGGGGGGGGGTTGCCTCTTGTTCTAACTTTTACAGGAACTTTACGATCATATGAATAGTTCCTTGGGCAGTACGTTGCTAGAAGGATCACAAGTTTATCTTGGTAAGTGACTTTTTTTTTGTACAAGCAGCAGAGATAATGTTAATGCTAATCAACACATTCCCTTCCTGAGCTAATTTATTTATGCTCATTAACAGAATAAGCGCCAGAAATCTCTGTCCCTGCATAGTATTCTGTTATACATTTCTTTATTAATGGATTTAAATAAATGTCTAATAAATGTAGTGTTTCTTTCTTAATAGGAGTGAGTTGTAAGTTGAAAGCAATGTTACCCCTTGACCTAACCATTTGGCAAGCAATTGCTTCCCTGCTTTTGGGGAACAGTTCCTGCTTAATTTTTAGATGGAGCTATTTGATGGTGTGGGGCGCTCAAGCTTTCATCTACCTGTTGTTTGGGATATCTCCCGTCTGATTCTGATACTTCTCCGTGCTTTCTGAATGCACAGTGTATTATTTACTTCCTTGTTTCCATAATGCTGCGTGGCATCCAACAGGAGTAACTCAGAGCATGACTGTTCATGTTATTATTGTCTCCATTGTAGATTTAAGTCTTGCTCCTGCTCGAAAGAAAGAATTAGATATGTGTTCTGCTATTGAAATAACCAGGTTCACATAGAATGCCTAATGCTTGTCCCCCTCCCTCTGAAAAATGGTGACAAGAAGTTAGTATCTCTACTAGTTACTAAACATAATAATTGCTCTCTTTTTTGTATCTCAGGTCTGTCTCCTCGGGATCTTGTTCTTCACTTTAGACACAAGGTAGGCGTGTTCTGCTAGTTACACAAAGTACAGCACTTATTTTGTGGAGTGAAATGTTTTATGAGGAACTGAAAAATAAATATGTCTAGACATGTCTGAGCTAGAAGTAAGAAGACTGTTTCCTAAGTACTTCTGGTTACAGCCTCCTGATTTACCTTCCCCTTCCGCTTACATAACTTCAGTGAAATTATGGTCCGGACTGAAGTTTTGTCTGTGTGCTGGGTTCCCTGGAGATTTCTAGGTTTGCATGACATTTCTTTAGTCCAAAGTGGAAGTGATATCAGACTTATGTTTTGTGTATCCTATAGCTAAGGTACAAATAGCGTTTAGAATCTTTAATTAACCGAGAGGCATCAAGGAAGCAAATTTGAGAATATGGATTTCATGGTGTATTCGTGCCTGCTCAGGAGATTTTTGGGGTAGAACTCATTTTTGTTTAACTTCAGGTGTCTGCCAGTTGTGCCCCTGAGGCATCTGGGCATCTGCCTAGAGTCTTTGAGAGTAGAGAGTCAGGACAGCCACTTCTGATCTAGATGCCTCATCTGAGATGTCTAAAATTAGGTGAGGTGAATGCTATTCTTGGTATTTTGCTGAATTCTTTTCTGTATTTCTGTGGAGGAACTCTTTTATGCAGTTTACTGTTTTTTAAAAATCTGGAATTACACATGTTCTTTCTGAAAAGTTCTGTGTGATTCAAAATTACATAATTCTTGTTTGTGCAGGTTTTTCTTTGTACATCTCAAATTCTATTTTAAAATGAGTGCTGAGGTGGAGAAAGACTATTTGAACACTTGTTTTTCACTGGTCAAATGTATCTGATCATGTGACAATTATACAGTCATTAACATGAAATCTTGAATAAGATTATGCTTACACAGTATTTTTGATAAATGGCACTGGTTCACTCACCATGTTTATCCTTTTTGTGTCTTTTCAGGTCTTGATCCTTTTTAAATTGATTCTTCTAGAGAAAAAGGTAAAGTTTTGTAGAATGAGGCAGGTAATTGAAATAGAAATGCAGTTGTTAAATTTTTTTTGTATGAAGTTATATAGAATATACTAGTGGAAAACAAAAGAAAAGTGTCTGAAGTCATATCAACAATTTTCAATCTGTATATAAATTGGGAAATTATGCTGAAAGTAACTGCTATGTGTTGGTGTATAGATTTGCCTCCACTTCTGTCCACATCCCACCTTATTAATAGCTGTCTCAGGCAGAGTAAGTAAAATGTGATTAAATGTGAATGGAGAAACTTAACATATTATAAAAGATAGGAAAGGATACATATTATGCAAATAGGTACTTGTGTGAAGGAACTGATAGGAAGTGCTGGTACCTAAAAAGGAGCATACAGCTTTGCAGGGATTCAGTAAGTAGAACTTCTGGTTCAGGTTTTAAATAGGCATACCAAAGGAAACAAGTGTTCAAGTGTCCTTCAGGCCTGAATTGCATGGGCACTGCGGGAGACAATGTAAAGAGCTGTATCTGTTAGGTCAGGCTGAACTCAGGTTATAAATTGGTAAAACTGTTGAACTGTAGGCTCAGTGCTTTCTTTGGGCTCCCTTACTGCCTCAGAAGCAATGCTGTTTTAGTAATTTAAGTGGAATGTGCAAAATGTACAAGCAGATGTGAAGTAGATAAATTTGTTCTGTGTATGTATTAATAATCTGGAACAAGAACTTTCAGCAAAATGACTGTGTCAGCTCCCAGACACATCTATGCAGGGAAATTTTTTTTATTTTGCTTTTTAAAAAAATTTTTGTTAAGTTTTGTTTCAGTTCCCCAAATGTCACTTTCTGCAGTGAACCTGCTGTGTTAAAATGTATCTTCTTCAGAGAGCTGAGAGGGAACATTAGAATTTCCTGTTAGCTGCAACTGGGAAGTCAGCAGAGTGGAATCTATGAGATATTGAAGCAGTTGTGTGGGATTTTTTAAAGTCTATATCCAAGACTACGTATCTTTTGTGGGGCATTAAATATGGCTTTAAAAAATAGAAGCAGCAGCTTCTCCAGAGCGTTTGCGCTTGTCACTTAATTCTGTAAGTTAGAGATATTTTGACAATTCCATGTATTTATCGATGAGAATAAATGCGGTTTCTGCATTAGAGCCATATGCTGAAGACTGCTATATTAAAGGCTATGCAAGAGGTATAGTTGAGAAAATATGATTATGACATAGGAGTACACATGTAGAAATGTATGTAATTAAGAGTTGATACGCTAGTTTTTGTCCAAAAAATAACATAATTATTCTGAAAGTCTACAGTGATATTTTTTTTCTTTTTTAAACCATAAGCGGAAAAAATATTTTCCTGTTAAGATTTTGTAAAGTATCTGTGCTGATCTGTTCAAAAAATTATGATAGCATTTCATCAGGTCAGTTCAGCATTTGGACATATATAAACTAAAAACCTTACTGAGCTATAGTTATTTTCTGAAGCAGCTCAAACCATAAGACATAAATGCATGGAAGAGGGGAAAGGGAGGGTTTCCCAAGTGTGTTCATATGACTCAAACACATGAAATTGTTTTGAAAATAACTGGATGCTTATTGAATAAACCTGCAGGTTGCTTTGTTTTTGTTTTTCCCTAAGCTCCAACAGGAAGACAACACTTGCAATTTCAAAAGGAAGTGTTTTGGCTTTCTGGCACTGCCTGTTTTCTGTCAGATATTAAGGTTTCAGAATAACTGTGGGAATCTGCATGTTGAAAGACCTTAAATATGATATGCAAGAAGCCACTAGTAATGCCAATTTTCCTTGAGCTGAAAAATGCCTGAATGCCACAGACGGATTTCCTTTAATCCTTAGAAATTTGATTGATGCTTTTCCACAGACTAAAGGAATTTTTTTTTTTTTTTCACCTCTCAGCTGTTATTGGGCTGGAAGACTACTTCCAGGTGGTGATCTTTCTGCTGCCAGGACCACCCAGTTTGCTGATGTAAATGTTGTAGGCTGTATAACGGGGTTGGGAGGGGTAAGGAAGTATGCACACCTATATATGGAAAGATGGCAGAGGCACTTTTTGGAACAAATACAGAAAAGTACTCTACTTAAGTACGTGGTATACCCAAATGAAAACCTAGCCTGGAAGAGATTTCTTGAAAACAAGATACTTCTTTATAGATTGAATTATTTATGTAGGCTTAAAAATAAGTTTGGCTAGGAATACATGGTATCTGAGAACCTAAACCTGTAGGGCTATCAGAGGGTTTCTGTTGTAGTTCATTGCCATTATATCATGCATATTTCATGCATGCATTATAAAGCAGCATCTTAAAAGAAGGTGGACTTTTTCATTCCTATTGCAGTCAGCTGAAATTCCTTGCTCAGATGATCTGCTTGCTCTTCTCATCATGCTTTTCCTGTGGCAATTTGAGTTCACTGGTATTGAACACAGAAAAAAAGAAAAAGTGTACAAAATAATATAGAGAGTCTATTTCTATCTGAGGTACTATTAAACATCATTTGGTATGTGGTTAGGACTGCAAAGGTCTTTCTCTTGGTTCCATCAATTCAGTAGCTTGTAGACTTGCAAATACTAGTGGAACATGAGTTGTTATTTGTTGCTTCTGAAGTGTCTTCCTAGCTTACATCAGAAGTCTTTTAAGTCCACAAACTTGCACTCTTAATTTCATGGTATACCTATTAAACTGTTCTGCGAAGTCATCATGTTAGATCATTTTGTGTTCCTTTGCATTGTTGATTCCGTGAAATGCTCAGGTATTTTTTACTAGTATTGTGCTGCTTGAGGACTTTAAAAGGGTATTGTTAAATAAGTTGCCTTATGTGAGGTTTTCTTGCTTTGGGTTTTTTAGATTTTTTTTTTTTTTTATTCCCACCTGAAGGCCTGTCTTGGAGAAACTCCAGTAGTAATATTCAGTCCACCTTGTGCTGCTTCTTTCATTGCTAGCCTTTGACACTCCCTTTTGAATTGCTAACTAATTTATTAATCCCAGCCTCTGTGCTTTAGTTAAGGAGATTCTGTCTTCCCATGTTATGCCTTAAGTGCTATACCAAAGTTGAGTATCAGTCATGTTTTGTTTCCAAAAAATATTTTTTTTTAATCATGGGAAGATACCTATAATAAATGAATGCTGCATTATGTTTTTCATTTATCTGTATATCTGTAATATATTTTCTTAGAAGTGATGTTTTTGCACAGGTTTTGGTCAAAATTCCAGAGTGGAGACTGTTTGGCCTCTCTGATTTATAACAGAGATTTTAACTTATTACAAATGAACAAGAATTTATGTAGTGTGCCAAGAAACAACTTTTTTCTGTCAGTCATTCAGTAACTGGATCAATTTGGGAAAAAATTCTGAATAACTGACAGAAAAATCTGAATGATTGACAAGTAAACGTTAGTCATGAGTATATATACAACATATATGTTACAAATATAAAATACAAGGATACAATAGACATATTTAAATATTTACTTTGAACTGTTGTAAGAGCTTTTGTTGGTAAGCAGACTTTCTAAAGTAACATAAACGCCTTTAATATAGCTTGCATGTGCTCTATCTTTGTCACGCTTAAGTGTAATTTTATTTTTCTCATTCTTTCTTCCCTAATTCTCCTTTCCTCTCTTGCACATTGTCTTCCCCTAACCCCCCTCTCTTCTGCCACCAGGTGCTGTTTTATATATCTCCAGTAAATAGATTGGTGGGAGCTCTGATGACTGTCCTGTCACTCTTTCCTGGTAAGAAGAGAAGTTTAGACTTCTTTTTAGATGCTTTCTGGTGATAACTGAGACCGGTGGTATTCTTCTGTTTGGAAAACAACTTATGTGACAATAGAGTTATGTTGGTATGTTACCTGAAAAATGGGTGACTTGTGTACATAGTACACAGCCATGCATGCATCTCCTAATATTACTTGTGCTCTATGGGTTATTTCTTAATTGGAGCCACTGAATCTTCTGTATTGCCTGTGGGTAACATAGATGGGAACCTGAATAAGTCACACATTCCTGTCGAGTTCCTTAAGAAACAAAAATATAAACGTCTCTCTTCCTTCTACATGCCCTCTTCAAAAAAGAATAAAAAACCCCTCACTCCAACAAAACCAAAACCCCTAACCTTGCTAATTCTTAGCTTCTAACCAGTCTTCTCAAAGCAAAAAAAGTTGGGGCAGATTCTGTAGGAGAGAAAGTGTGGGGTTTGATTTTTTTGGTTGGTGTTTTGTTTTGTTTTTTTAACACCCAACCCCAAAGTAGCTTTTTAAAATACATGATTTCCACTGTGCCCACAAGAGCACTTAGTTCATTTCTTTAACAAAAGTCACTTAAATTTCTGTTGAGATGCTGATATTCACATGTACTCTTGCTTTCCAGGTATGATTGAACATGGTCTTACTGACTGCTCACATTATAGACCAAGAAAGAGCATATCTGAGGATGCTGGCCTGCAGGAGAATACACCACAGTTAGATGACTGTGTTTCTGTGTCTGCTGCTGATACTTCAAATACAAACTTAAGAATGGGAAAGGGAGACATGAAGATGGCAGGAAACCATTCACTGGAAGGTCGAAAAGCAAACATGTCTTTCTCCCAGTCAGAGAAGACTTGTAACGGAGCTCAGTCCTCCAACGGTACTGTGCAGCGCTTGAAAGTTCCTTCCCGTGCTTCTCCAGCGTCCTCGGAAAGTGACTGGGAGACCTTAGATCCTAGCATTTTGGAGGAGTCTAATTTGAAAGAAGGAGAACGTGAAAATACAGCATCAGAACAGGCTGAAAATCTACCGAGCAAAGGCATGAGCTCAGAAAGCCTTCCAATCACTGTGCAGCCCCAAGCAAACACAGGACACACGGTGTTTGTTCCAGGACTGATATCTGGGTTGGAAGAGGACCAGTATGGTATGCCGCTGGCTATTTTTACAAAGGTAAACATGTTGTTCATGATGCCTGGTAACACAAAGACATCTGTTTTTCAGAAGTGGCTAATAATTTTGGTTACCCAACTCCAAATGGACAGTAGGGTACTGCAGAAGATGTAAGTATGGCCTCTGGCAAGTGTTCCTGGGCAGGTGGAAAGCATGAGTGAATGTCTGAGAGCGGTGTGTGCACGCACACATGCATTCCACTTTTCATATGTATGCTTAAATACTATTTGCAATTCTACATGATGGTAACTTGCAGCCCCACTGTGGTTAACAAATGGTATGTATCAATAACTACTGTTTTCTTTTACTTTGAAGAATTGTTGATCTAACCTCTACAGGGCAAGATCAGAGTACTTAAGAAGTGTTTAGATACCTTAATCTAAACTAAGATTCTGAAAGCTATATCTTAGCTGACACCTAAGCCTATGTCTTCCTCTTCTAATTTTCATATATATATTTATAAATGTGTATGTGTGTGTATATATGCACAAATTGTGTATATGTGTGTATATATATACACATACAGAAATAAATATATATATATTTTATATATATATAATTTCACCCTTCTTTACATGGGAACTCTTCATGGTTGCCTCTGGCTCTCTCCCTGGGCATGGTGCTGAGCTGCTGAATTTTAAGCTTGTGCTGATGCCTAACTGAACTCCAGGTATTCCAGAGTCTCTGTAAGGACTCTGATGGGCATACAGATAGCAATCAATACATTTACTAGGGCTGGTTTCTCATAAAAAAACAGGGAAAATGTGTCCCTTTTAAAGATACTTTTGTCAGTAAAAGAATTGACACAATACATTTCTTTTGTTTTGTTTTTAATATAGTAGCCTTTTAGATAAACATTTGCCCAGAAAGTAGAAGATTCAGATTTATTTCTTCAAGCTGATGAGGTTCAAAGTGGTTTGAGCTCCTCACAATAACTTTTATTGGAAATGGTATGCTATGTGGGCCCAAGTGAGCAGCTCAGATGTCTTTGCCCTGTATTGCCTCACATCACTGTTAGAAATGCTTTTTCAACAAAGATCTGCTGTCTAGTGTTTGTCCTTTTGTTCCCTAATGAAAAGAATAGCCTGTATATTGTATTTAGTCTAATTCCATTGAAAATACTAGATTATAAGCAAGAAGAAAATAATTGATAAGGGGGCCTACAAGTGCAAACTCAAATTGCTACTAAGCTCATAAAATGGAAAAGTAAACAATTTTAAGGAAGCTGACAGTTTCTGCATGTTTACCTTCTGTTCCACAAAGGCACTTTTCATTTGAGTTCATCCAATGTAACTAAAGTAGAAAAGGCTTTACATATCTATGTTATCAGAAAAATGTGATTCATAGTTATAGTGTAACTGCTTACTGGAAAGTTTAAATCTCTTTCAGAACTCTCATCTCAGGGTTGTTTTATGCCATGCCATAGAAAGACTAATAAATATGACAAATTGGAATGGGAGGAGATTTTGCCCGGTGGCATAATACATTATCCAAATACACCCAAGCATAAGGGAAAAAAGGTTGTGATACTTGTTTCTTTAGTATCAGTTCTGTAAGATCTAATACTCATTTCATTTGCACTCTTTTAAAAAGAATGGAACACCTTAATGGAAATAAAAGTTTTTATACTTAGAGACAAATGTGAATTTGGGAACTGACACTTGATACTTTAAGTAGTGAAAGATTTCCAAGACTTTGTTACTTGAGTATACAGTGATTAAATCTTCCTTTGCCAGCTCCTCAAGCCATATTTTTTGAAAATTTTCCATTTTAGGTTGGTGGTTGCTCTCAAAGCACCGTTGTCCCTTTGACACAGGCTGTTTGTTTTCAGCTGATAAGTGCTTGTCATCTGGAAAGCCATCCCTGTGTCTAATATAACAAAAGAGAATGGTTGTGTTCCTCTCTTCCATATGTTTCCAATTACCATGTACTGTGTGATAAAGTGCATGTGCTTTTTTTTTTTCTGTCCAGTATGCCGTTAGCCCTTCTGGGTTTCTGCTAGTGAATAAATTGCTTTGTGCTGTATGCAGTTGAACAGCTGGAGTTAGACTTCGGTATTAGACTTCAGGGGCGTGTTGAGCCTATATTTAAAAAGAAAATTACAATACCTATAGCCGCTTCTCAGTGATCTCTCAATGACTTCCCTCAATGCCTTTTTCAAAATGTTTGGGTTTGTTTTTGGTTTTTTTTTAATTGGAATGTAGGATACTAGCTTAACTTGCAAGCATGGAGTGGCTAAAAAGCACAGTGTATTGCTTTTTGTCCTGTTTTTGTTAACCGGGCATGCATGTGCTTTTCAAACATTGATTGCTATCTCTGGAGCCTGGGTATCTCCACCTACAAAATGTGGATAGCAGTCTATAGCTTTACTGCATTCTGTGCCTCTGGACTACCAGAAGACCTCATGGTATGCAACTGGAGAGATGAATCTTTATCTCCTTTGACTTCTTGTCTCTGAACTGACCTGACATCTCACTCTTGTTTTATATTGCTTATTCTGCTGCCGTATAAACACACTTGATTCCTGTCCTTTTGCTTTGTATTTCAGTTTCAGTCCTGAGACTGAAAGGCAACACGACCTCTTGAAAAGTTTAATTAATGTGGAATCTGGTTGCTTTGCTTTGCAGATGTTAAGTAGCAAAACAATAGATAATCGTGGCTGAAATTGTAATAACCAAGGTTTATTCTGGGTGGGATGTTCTGGCTTTTATTAGGAAAAGCTCTGAACATAGACTTTTTTTTTTTTGGCCTTATGTTAATCCTTTAAATATCTCTGTTACTTTAGGGATACCTTTGTTTGCCATACATGGCACTGCAGCAGCATCATCTCCTGTCAGATGTAACAGTCCGTGGCTTTGTTGCGGGAGCCACCAATATCCTGTTCCGTCAGCAGAAACATCTGAGTGATGCAATTGTGGAAGTATGAATCTCTGCATTTGAACTTACTGAATGGGGGGAGGGGGGGGGGGCGGGGCAAGCAGAGGTTGCATTTCAATATAACTTTAAAGTTTCACTTTCATGCTCAAATTTTGAATTATTTCCCTATGAAAAAAATTCTTAAATGCAGAAGCTTATTGAATTTGTATAATTTGTTAAAATAGGATTAGATAAGCTGTGCAAAACTAATACATGTTTTCCTGTATATTCTTATATCAAGTATTTGAATCTGCAGGGCATTTCTTGAATTTTTATTTTGTTGATGGTGTAATTTTACTTCTCGTGTCAAGTTTTCTTTTTCATGACTTTGTAATAAGGTCTTCAAAAATAAGTGCTTGCAGCTGAGAAACAGATACAGTCAGATAATAAAGCACATTGCTATTGACTTCTTCCTTCTGATTTAATCAAGAGGTTAAAAATAATAGTATCCCAGAAAACACTGTGTCAATTTAGCAAATAGATACAACTATATAATCAGCATCTGGTAAGCTAAGATAGCTTCATACAGGTAACCAACTTAATAAATTGAAGTGATAATCAGAAAGCCTCTAGGAAAACAAATGTTAGCACCAAACATCCCCTGCCAAATCCTGTCAAATGAGCAGCTTTTACTTTGTGCCAGGAAGATGATTGTATTCTGGTTACGTCGGAGGAGTATCTGACTTTCTGAGAACTGTTAGTTCATTATTTCGTTGGCCGTTTGTTTTTTCTTGATATTTTGGGGGGCTGTGTGTTTAGATTTAGATAACAATATATAGTAGTGTATATGTAAGCAGCTTTATTTAGATAAATGTTTACCCCTGGAATTATTTCAAACAGATAGAAGATGCTCACGTACAAATCCATGATCCAGAACTCCGTAAGATCCTGAACCCAACAACGGCTGACCTAAGATTTGCAGATTACTTGGTGAAGCACGTGACTGAGAACAGAGATGATGTTTTCCTTGATGGCACTGGATGGGAAGGAGGAGATGAGTGGATCAGGGCCCAGTTCAGCGCTTACCTTCATGCACTGCTTGCTGCCGTGCTGCAACCAGGTAGAACAGTCCCTTGATAGGGCCTGAGATGAGGGGCTTGTAATGAGCATTTGCTGTGTTGCATTAAACATGTGGCCTATCATTGGATCTCCCTTTACCTAATATTTTAGGCTGCTTTTTTTTTGGTTGTCCTTGGCTAACCTTGTTATTCCTTGACAAGCTTATTACTAATTCTTACTTCACAGCCTTACAGACACTTTCTTCTTTGACTGTCTCCATCTCCTTGATTTAATTAAGCTTTCCTCATAAGTAGAAGTACCTGAAACCTCATATGTGATGAGACTTTTGCAAACTTGGGTGTCTTACAGACTATTGCAACCTGAAGTTAATTGTAGGGAACTAATTGGATTCACGGAGACATGAAGTTAAGTGGCTGTCTTCAGGGAGTTTTACTAGGCTGTTTCATCTCTTTCTTTCTGCCATGGTCCTAAGTAGGGATTCGCATAAGTGAAAAGTGTTACCTAGAGGCTCTAAAGTTTGTGTCTTCTGGAGTTCAGCATTTTTTGTCTGAACTCGGAATTCTCTACATTCCAACCTTTTGTGCATGAATATAACTAAAAGAATCAGTGTTTTGTTTTGTTTGTGGAAAACATTTAGTTTGCCCAGCACTGACCCTGTTAACTTAATTCTCGTTGTGATTATTCCCTATTAACATCAATTAACTAATTCGGATCTTGTTCTGTGGTATTTGTGAGAAAACATGGGATTGAGAACTTGATTTTAAAGTCTGGAAGATGCTAAGTTCTTTATCTGACAACATTAATATTTTAAGATGCTACCAGCCTGGTTGGTATGAAATTTCGGTGTTTTCTAGAAACTCATACTGTTTCATCATCTGGGTCTAAAATTATTTCCTACACTCTTCAATGTTTTAAGGGGGATGCTGTTATGATAAGTTTATTCCACAGTAGTTCATACCATAGTTTTGGAGTGGATTTCGCGTTTACTAAATTTGAATGAGTAGTAACATAGTATAGCAAAGCCCAGTGTATCTGACCAAGACCAATGCAAATGATGTTTTTATTCTTAGTTGCTATGTGGCCATTCTTTGCCCAGAGAATAAGTTGTCGCCTATGTTTGGATGGCTTTTTTTTTTCCAGTTGAGCTCTATACTTAGAACTTTAAATGAATTAAACCCAAGAAAAATATTTTTAGAATTTTTTTTTTCCCCCTCTTGTCTTGGCATTGTATATTTAGGACACTTTAAAATAATAAAACATTTTTGAAGTGCCCAGTTCTTAGTACTAGAGGTTTAATAGTCTTTGATTTGATAAGACCCTGGAAAATTTTAAATTTTCTTTCAAAAAATAAAGTAATTTGTCTTTTATTATGTTTCTTATGAATTGCTGCAAATTCTCATCTTTATCAGACAATGAAAAGACTTTGTCAGACTTCGGAACAGCTTTTGTAGCAGCTTGGAAAAATACCCACAACTACAGAGTATGGAATAGCAACAAGCATCCAGCTCTTGCAGAGGTAAATTCTAGGTAAGGAAATTTTTTTTTTTAAAAAAGCATTTAACATTTTAAAATGGAGAGCTTCTAGTATGTGTAGCCAGGCACACTGTTCTGTAAAATTACTGCGTTCCCCTTGATCCTGCTATAAAGCCCTGAGGGTGAAACTCTGGGGCCCTGTTCTCCAAGTACAGAAACTGAGTATTTCTGTACTTCAATACCTTACTCTAATTCCGGACAGTAGTTTTATGAAGAAAAATATATCCAGAGTCAGGAGAAGTGAAACTTGAACAAGTTGTTGGTTGGCTGTCCTCAGCTACAGAGTTTGTCATTCCTCCAGATCTGTCCCCAGATGGTTCTGCTTTTTATTAATTGCTTCCAGGTGTTCAGGGAATAGCTGCATCCAGGGTTGTCATTGATGGGGGTGGAGGTGAGCTGGCTGTTTTGTGTTGCATCTTCTATACTTTGGATTGTTTTATTGTGTTTTCACTCAAAGATTAGATGGTGCCAGGCTTGGTAACTACTTTGGCTGTGCATGTGTTTTAGCATCAGTTATTACTGTACTGCAGGGAGTTTTGTTTGCTTTTGCTTTGTCAGCTGCTGTAATCTGAAGAAGGTTTTTCTTTAGACCTACAAAGCTCTCCTGGTCTACTCAAGGGATCTCTTTTCTTTTTCCATTTGGTCTGTGTTGCTAGAAGGAGATGCTTCTGCCTTAGTGTGAAAAGATTGTTAATATCTGGTCTGTAAATAGAAGGCAACTTACAGGTAGTTCATAAGAAATCTAAAGTTGAATAGTCACTGGGACCTAACTGTCAGTGAAGTGATATAGTAGTATATCTAAAAAGATTTTTTTTTTTTTTTTTTTTTTTTTGGTAAGCCACAGAGAGGAGTACAACCAGTAATTGTGTGATATGGATTCATCATGGAAAAATAAATTATTGTGTTTTTCTTCCTCTTCTAGCCACCCATTCCAAGGACAGTACTCTGTATCAGATGTTAAGTTAAGATTGTCACAGTAAGTATATAGTACTTTGATTTGTATATTTTTAAAAGTGTGGTCAAATATTAATAACTGTGTAACTCTTGCGTTGATGAACTAAACAAAATAATTAAATTGGCCATGTACGTGAAACTATACTCAACGTTCTCTTGCAAAACATCACCACATCTAAAGATGGAACATTTTCCTGAAATCAGGAAAAACTTTGCTAATGCACTATTTTGAGTTGGACTTTACATAATAGAGCCCTGATTTTTTGCATTGCAATTATAAGGCTTTTGTATATTTATTTTTAAGTTGTAAACTAAAGCTGTTAAAACTTGCATCAATGTTTTTCTGTAATTGACTTTAGGTCTCATTTTTAGGAGAAAACAGCTTTTTAATATAGCATTGTTCTAAAACTCTCAAAGTTCACTGTGTATGTACTGAGACATGGTTCAGTTTCTTCAAGTTAGAAGTTTGAAATTAGTTTTACATAATCTATTACTGCACCATGCTCAACTGAACTTTAAATTGGTCTCATCTCTTAACTCAGTGGTCTCAACTCTAAAACTCAGTGGTGCTTGTTATTCCCATAGTTGTTCAGCTCTAACTGAAGCTAGAATTCAGACTTGGAGTTGCAGTTAACTATCTCTTCTCATTTATGCACCAGGCAAAATACATTTTTTTCTCAGTTATGTATGTGGACCATAAAACATCAGAGACTATTTTTTTTAAGATACCTGTAAATCAGCAATACATACACGCTGATGATTCTGCACCTGCCTTGACTGTAGACTGATATTTTCAGTATGCTGTGAGTAGGCCTAACATACATGCTAACATAGAACAACAGCTTGAGGAATAAAAAGGTTCAGACTTCAGCCTGCAGAATCTTTTTGTTGCTTTTGCTGACCAAGGGCAGATTAAATTTCCGTGATGGTGATTGAGAATGCAAATGAATCAAGATTTATCTCAAGGTAATTGCCTTCAATAAGGTGGATGCTGATAGCAGCACTTATTACTAATGGATGGTCTTTGTAGAAAGACTTAGTTTGAAAGATGTGGAGGTGTCTACAGTCTTTTACTTGCCCTATTTTTGTGTTTGAAAGGGGAAATACTAACTCTTCTGAGTAGCCTGAAATCAGTGTAAAAGGACCAGTAGTTCTTAGCGTGTCTCTAATAATTAACATTTTTACAACAGTGCCTTTATTTTCCAGATGTGACCTTGCTATCAGATACTCAAAAAAATGACTTGCTTTTGCAAACTGAGCCTAACATAAACTTGTTCTTGGTGTACTCCATTCTTTATGCTTTTTGTATCTACACTGAAGATTTTGAAAGTGGGAAAAGAATGTGGCGTGCTGTGTTGTTAAGTTTTGCATAAATGCATTTGTAAAACCTGAAATGTGGAATTGAATGTTACAGTTTTAAACCAAATGAGATTATTTTCAAGTGATCACACTTGTGCAGTAGAACCGATTGCTTTTGTAATTTTCTTTCCAAACAGTGGTAGTGTCTGTAGTCTTTTTGCATGTCTTTAACATGCAAAGTTAAAGTATGAGTGTAAACTGTGCTTGATCAAACTTTTAATCTTAAAGCAAGAATCAAAATAAACTCTATTTAGAAAAAAGAATAATAACTGATCAGTAACACCATTTTATTTAAAGCTTACATGTTAGGACTAAAATTTCTCAAAACTACTTCAAATCTGCCTTTGTAATTTAGAACATAAATGCATTTTGGTAAACATTTAGGAAAGGTATAAAGTGTGTTGCATAAGAATGAACCGTTGGGTGTTTTGGTTCCTGTCTTGCTGACAGTATCTTCTTCCTCTGAGAAGCTTGCCTAACTGATTTATATGGATGGAATGCATGCAGGAATTATGGGCTTGATCATATATATAAATATATGTATAAAAACTATATATATGTATGCTATGTGAGTCTGTGTGTGTATTGATGAATATTTTAACTATGTATTTTATTTACACCTAGAAATAGTAAGAAGTCAGTCCGCTAACAGTCTTCAGTATCTCTTTTGTTTAGCTCCGTGCAAAACAGTGAACGTGGAAAGAAGATTGGAAATGTGATGGTTTCTACTAGTCGAAATGTTGTACAAACGGGAAAAGCTGTAGGTAAGAAATTATATTAAACCATCTTGCATCTAAGCTGTATCTTTTTTTTGGAGAAGCATCCTATGTCTCAGTTATATTTCATTTTAATCCAAGTATACTTTATAACATACATACAGAGCAGAGCAACATTTTAAGGGGTAAAGCTGCTGATTGAGGCCCTGTATATTGTGTAATAGTAGAAAGAGAAGCAGCTAGACAAAGAAATTAGTGTAAATTCCTTTCCCAGTGTGGGCTGGAGGCGAACGTGGGAAGAGAGTTGTTCAGGTAAAAGCTTTCATGTAATCTGGAAATGCTTAAACCACAACACCACCTTCTGCATTGAGCTATTCTCATTTTCATATCACTTTGACTGAAACTATCCAGAGCTGGTCAAAATCAGAGGAAGACATTATGTCAGTTTCTGCAGGTTTTGCAATAGTCTGTAGTTTTCTGGAAAAGCACTTGTTGCACTTGAACAGGGGCGACATCACACTGTCATCTTGCAGTGCAAGATAATGTGACTTCACCCATTGAAAAATCTGGTAGTTGTTCTTCAATAGCTTTGCCAAAAATTGGTTAGCTTCCTCTTTCATTCCACTGGAGTCTCTCTACTCTTTTTGCTGTTGTACACTCTGGCTATGAACACCTTTCAGCCCAAAGTCTAGCAAGCCCTCCAGGGCAAAGGACAACATAAGCCATTTCTGCTGAGCTTCTGTGTTCAGGTTCTTTGAATATTTTCTGACACAGACTCTGGACTTGGATTTTATATCCCAAATTGGGCAACTGATTGTGTGATTTTTTTTTTTTTTTTTTTTTTTTTTTAATATTTCTTTATAGTAGCTTAGTAGTGGTAACACTGCTATTGACCTTTCTTTTTTGTTGTAACACAGGTCAGTCCGTTGGAGGAGCCTTCACAAGTGCAAAATCAGCAATGTCATCATGGTTTTCCACTTTTACACAGTCAACCCAAAGCCTTGGGGACTAACTGATAGTCTTGCACAACACTGCTGAAAATTTCAGGTGCGATGCTTTCTCTGAGCTGTAAAAAGACTGCTCCAAAACAGGAGTGGAGATTAACTTCCCAGGACCAAAACATGTTGCTTGCAAGCACACATGAAATGTTACCATTCAGTTTCACTGGAATTATAGAAGAATGGTGAGTGTCTCCATACAATGGGGTGGCACCTGCAGTATATCGGTTGTATTTAAAGTGACTACTTTAAAACTGAGCCTTTATAAAGACATTAGCAAACAGGGCTTGCTGCAAGCCAAATGTGTTTGACTTTAGATTTGTACATTTTCTTGGATGTTGATAATATTTATGAAAACCAGTTATATTTTTCAATCCAAATAGCCAAATGTTTGTGAATTCTTGTTAGAAATAAGCAGAATATAAACACTGACTCCTCTTTCAGGTTGGATTTGAAAGCATCTCTGCAAAAAGTATATGGTGAAAACCCATTAAGGGTTCCAAGCCAGGTGGAACTTTCTCGCTTTCACGTGCAAATTAAAATTGGCAGGGTGCAGAGTGTGGCTGATTTAAGATTTTTTTTTTTTTTTTTTTTTTTCCCTCCTCTGTAGCCATGTACAGTTGTTTGCGTTAATCTGTCTCTACCTTTCTTTGTGTCCCCAAATCTGTGTGACAATTGCAAAATCAGTAATTTCTTGATATTATGCAGTAGGCCTTCATAATTCTGCATATGTTTTGGCTGTGTTTTTACCCTGGGATGTGAGTGGGATTCCAGTTGGAGACACCTCTTCAGGAAAAATATTACAAAACAATTCTCACAAATCGGGGTTGGATCATAGTTTTGTGAGGTCTTTCTCTATTAGAATGTAATTACACCATCAATGTAATTACGTGCATTGAATACAAAGAACTAAAAATGCCTAAAACGAGCACAGCACCAAACTGTGTGGCACTTTTTCTTTTTTTTCCTGGTAAAGTTATGAAGACGTTTCCAAATGAAAATCAGCTATATCTGTTTTCTGTGTTGACTCAGGGAATGTTCTGTTTGGATAGCTACTTTTTTCATAAAGAAAGTAGTGCTGGAATTGAGTAACTGAAACAGCTCAGTTTGTATCCTTGTGTGAAGAAATATAATAGTTTATATGAAAAGATGTGGCATAATGCTGTATTTTCTATGTAACATGCATGTGGTGTTTTCTGTGTGCAAGTTTATTCCACTTCCTACATTTCCTGATTCTGAGAGATTATTTCCTGTTTCTTGCAATGTGTGTGCCTCTCTATGCCTTCTGACATCCCCACACGATAGCTGTTAACATTTTCTACATCACGTTATCAAATGTTCCAATTTTCTGTAGTAAAAGGCTCTCAGTTTATTGCCTCATCAGTATTGGTCAGCACTTCACCATGTTCTTTTCCGGGGCCAAGATTTCAAGTCATGGTTATTTCTTCTATTCCTCAAATAAAATACAGCAGCTGTACAAGAGGTAGACAAGAAGGCTTGAATGTAATTTAAGAAATTAAGTTTTAATGCCTTTAGGTGCATTTGAAAAGCTAATAGAAAAGCCACACTTGCATCACACAGTTACTGTTGAACAGCTTAGTTTTTAGTCTTATGGCTTCAAACAGCAATTTGAAAACACAGGATCTGGTTTAAAGCCTTCATTACTTTTTTTCCAGGACAAATTAGATAGAATGGCTGTGGAAAACCTGAGAGTTTACAACTAGTTTGAGTAGTTTCATGTGAGAATGGCGAAAAAGGCGCCTAAAGCTCTACTGATCTACTGCTTCTGACATACAAGTAAAATGTACCTATAGAACTGCAACTATTGCTACTGATCTGTGTGTATTTGTGTATTTCCTAAAATTTCTGATGCTCTTTTTCTGTTTTATTCCACAACTCTCTAATAGACATTTATATCTCTTCAAAGACTAAGTAATAATTGATATGCTGGAAGAGCTCTAGTGAAATAAGACTAGGGCTGCATTTATTCATTATGAATCTAGAGCTTTCTGATTCAGCATGCAGATAAGAAAATAATCAAAAATAATCACTTGCTTTTGTGAAATAGCTAGTGTATCAGCTGCCTGGGATTTAAGTGGTCAGGCTTCATGTTGTAGTGAAGACTGAATAAAGGTGCATAAAGTATTTAAGCACCTGTAAAACTAACTTCAGCAATTTAAGGCATACAAGGTAAATTTAGGCTTAGGAGCTCACGATGGTGAGTTCTAACAGCCACGCGAGTGGGAGGTATTTACATGTACAAGGTATAGAAACAGGACCTTCAAGTATCCCTTTTCGATATCCTTGTCTTTGTCACCTCCTCACCTGAGTTTCTTCTGTAAAAGTCTCCTGTGCCCCAAATTTGTATAGCAAATTTGTTTAGCTCTCTGCATTCTCCTTACTCCCACAGACTGCCTCGGTGGCCCAGGGATATCTGAAAGCTGATTTGTTTGTTTGTTTTGGTAGATTGATTTGAGGAAAGGCAGAATGAGGTGTCCTCTGCAGTGCTCAGCAAGCCACAGCTGCTTGCTGCTTTGTACAGGGACTCTGTTATGATACTTCACAGTATTTCTCTTATGAGCAAGGTGACCAGACAGATCTTTCTCTGAAGTCTTTTTCCCACTGTTCCCGCTGTCTCTGCTGTGGAGCCAAACATACAACCTGATTATGAGTATTTTCCTTTCTTTACAAATGATAGATGAAGAAACTGGTATTTATTTTCAATCCTTTTAAGAACTAGCATCCTGCTAGCAAGTTGGACTGTGACTCATACAGTGATTAAGACTCATGCAGTGGGTAGAAATGAAGTGATCTTCATAATATGTGACCTTCATTAACATGAATGTTTGCTCTGCCATTTGCTTAAACTTACTTTTGAGCTGTAGGAAGGCATGCAGCCACTGAGGTTTATCTAAGCTCATGTAGTCCTCTTAATTTAATGGTTGTAACCTCTTTAGTTAAATCCAGTGCAAATGCAAGTTATTTTCCTCCCCTCTGTTTTAAAATACCTAGTGCAAGCATTATTACTTACTCAGAAAAATTTAGGCAGACAACTTCCGTCTTAAAGACCCTGATATACGTTCCTGCACTGCAAGAAAGAGTCCTAAATGAATTGGTGATGGTACCTCTAATGAGTCAACTGTGAAGCTATTGTTACAGCTTTGTCATAATGTGTGTTGCAAAGGTATTTCTGGCTGCCAGTGTGCAGCACGTACTGACTTACACCTTTCAACTTTCTGTCAAAGGCATCAATCTCTGCTTTTTGTATGTGCCAGCATTTGAGGAACTGCCCGTTGAGCATAGATTTAAGTCCCAAAAAACCCACAAGACTAAGTATTGTTGACCTAATATTTCATTTGACTAAAATGTTTGGCGTTTTTCATCAATCATTTTCACGTCATAACCTCAATTCCTGTGCACATCTGACACCAGTTTCCTCAAATATCACAATGTAATTATCATTTTTAGATCAGTGTTCTAGTACATTGCACTTGTTTGACCTTGTGCATCTGTTTCAAGCACTTTTGTAATTAAATTTAGTATTTTGCCTAAACAAGCTTCTGATTTCAGTACAAATTACTACTAAGCAGACAAACTAATGTGGCAGTATTTAATTTTAAAAGTGAAGGTGTGAATTCAGTTCTTAAACATAGAAACTGTTGCTTGATAATTGAACATACAAGTAATGTATTTGATTTTTCTTGTGCTGCTTGAAAAATAAATACATCCAACCTGTTTAAAGTTCTATCTGCTCAAAACGATGTATTATTTTAAGAAATTATTCCCTCCAGAAGATACTTGGAGGCATCTGCTTTTGGCATTGGTAGCTGCTTGTAATACACTGGCAATCTTTTTGAAATATGTCTTTCAGTTAAACTGTGCATGTTGCTTTTTGCAAATTTAGGACAAGAGGATCCTCTAGTGTGACTTTTTATTCCCTATTGGGTCCTGCTTATTGTGAATTGATTCAGTAGATTACATCATTAAGAACTTTAAGTACGACTGTAAAATTTTGATGTAGATTTAGCTTTAAAATAGTATGTAGTTCATTTGGATTGTGACATCTAGTCAAAGTCAGGATGCTGAGTAAATTAATTGCTGCACATCCAGTTCTCTGCTATAGTGAACTGTTTTAAAACTTTAGAACTTCTACTGTAACTGTCACTAGCTGAGAATGATTTGGTAAATCGCTGTTTCCAGTTGGAGGAAACTAAATGCCTTGAATAACATTGATGTGAATTAGATGAAGCTGATGTCTAGAAAATGGTTGCAATTCTCTAAAATTTGTTAAAATTTTTCTGACCGTATGAAAGTGTTGTCCCTAAATTCAGGTTCTTTTACCCCGTGTAAAATGAGCCAAAAACCACCCAGAGTCAAGATACTTGTTTAATCCATATCTGTGCAGAGCTGGGTGCTAGGTGGCAATTCCCCAAAGCCACCACACCGCACACAGGCAAGCAACACACTGACACACTTCAAACTACAGGAATACACATGTAACATAATGACCGTTGGTTTGTTTCTTATCACTGTGTTCCTCACGGGTTAACAACAGGCCTTGTCTCGGTCTGAAGTCCCAGTAGCCTCTTTTTTAACTACGCAGGTTCAGGGAGGAAGGGGCTTTTCTTGGTAGGTGACTTTTTCCTACTCAAGGGTGGGGTTTTATTATGTTAATGAGGAAAGCTCACTCATAAATCAGGTGGTTCTCTCCTTGGTTCAATTAGCAGCTTTGGTTTCTGTGCATTTATCTTGGTATTTCCCTGCTTGATGGTTTTGTGGTGTCATCCCTCCTGCTTATCTCAGCATTTCCTTGTTATAATTACAGTGTTGCTTCTTCAGGGTCATTCTGTCAGCTTTACCAGTTCCTTTATCAATTCCTGGCATTCTTTCACAGCCCTGCTTTTGTCATTTTATTAAAATGTAACACAAATAATTGTGTAAACACACTGGAAGATAAATTTACATCGTGTTGTTTGTGCAGTATAATTTTACTTTCTTGCAGGTATTTAGCTTTCATTAAAAAGGGCAATATGGAAAGTATTCATTAAAAGCAGAAACACTACATTATTGTACTATGATTAAAGATGGATGACAAATTGCTTCATGGTGTTTTGAGTCTTTAATACTACATTAGAGGAGAGACTGACTTAAAGCAGGCACAGAGCTTTAGTTCTGTGATGTTTCTGATCTTGATCCCATTCTTTATCAAATATTAGAAGTAGTGTATGGATTCATAAAAAAATGGAGATGGATCCCTTCTGGCAGTAAATAGTTAAAATCACTTCTGGCAGTAAATAGTTAAAATCACTTCTGGCAGTAAATAGTTAAAATCACTTCTGGCAGTAAATAGTTAAAATCACTTCTGGCAGTAAATAGTTAAAATCACTTCTGGCAGTAAATAGTTAAAATCACTTCTGGCAGTAAATAGTTAAAATCACTTCTGGCAGTAAATAGTTAAATAGTGAACCTTACTCAGATTACTTTATTCCCCATAAATTGACATCATCTGCACACAGGTAGCTTAATCTCAGTTGTGACTGGAACTTGGAAGTCTAGCTGCCTTGTTGAGTTCTTCTGTATAGGTTCAAAATTGCCTAATTATAGATTGCTCCTCTTATAAATACTATTCCAAAATCAACTGATAGAAAATAAGTTTTTTGTTGCTTCCCTGCCTGAATTTATTGGCTAATATTGATAAAAGCATAATTACTATTTGCCTCAATAGTAGCAGAGAACATCTACAAAATCTTCTTTTCTTGTCTTAATCTAGATCACCAAGAAAGTGGCACTGCTTTCTAGATCAGGTGAGCATAAAGAAAATCAATGTTTAGACTGAAGGAACAACAGTTATCTGGAGTGAAGGCAGAGGTAGAGGTATGTTGTTGTCTTAAAAACAGTATGAGGAATAACATCACTTACATACTGTGACAGATGGAAATTCTGAAGAAGCAAACTCAATTGGTCGCTCATCTCTGAATTCAGAGATAGAATGCACACAGACACACAGTGGAGAATTTAGAAGTTCGGGCATACCAGAAAGTGGCAAAAAATTACACTGAGCTTAACATATTGCCTAATATGACATGTGGTTACTGACTTTTCCTGCTCTTAATAAATGGTGCATATATATGTCTTGATGTGTATAAAGCTGTGCCAAAGAGCTGGCTAAAGAGTATGTCTGACCTTAAATTGTGGAAATTGTTTCTTTTTTTTTTTTTCTCTTCAATAAAAATGTGCTCAGAGTTAAATTAGCTAGCTCTACTTCCTGCACTTTCTAAATAAAATCTCAGCATCAAGATTTAGCTTGATGTCTAGCACGTAATCTGAGACGACTTTAAGGTCTACATTACATCACTACCTTTTTAGTACCTTTTAGTGTCCTGTTTACTGGCTCTTTGGTCCTATTGATGCAGTAGAGTTCACGTATGTATTCAGTACAGTTTACTATTTTAAGAGATGAAGTCACATTATGCTTCAGGTGACCACTCATACTTTAGCACTTCAGTAACATGTACAATGCTTAAACCCTTTCTTTGCTGAAACAAATGTTCCTAGTTTCACAAGTTAGGACAAGCCACAGAGGAGCTATGTGCTTTAGAGTGGGAGGAGGCAAAAGCACACAGAGATACTTTTACTCCTGTTTCACCTTCATGCCTGTCCTTTCTTTGGTGTCAGAGTTTCTGTAACTCAGTGCTGATCTGGGTCTTGCTCTCACCTGCCAGTTCAGGCTGTTTACCCACCTCTTCCATACTGGAATTTGGGAGCTGTGTGAAGATGTGCAGATTTCATACAGGCTGCCTCCCGGCGTCATGAGCGATCCCTGCAATTTACTCAGTCTGCTAGTAATCCTCCTCCAGGTTATAAGCTGTGAGTAAGAACACTGCCTTGCTGAATTATACTCATGGTAAATGTTGTAGGAGGGAGATATTTTAAGTTATTCTGGAATGGAACTAAACAGAACTTTTGTCTGGCTAATGTTCAGCATGATGTACGAAGAAAGTGGTTTTAAGGGTGAGCCTACTTCAGTCTGCCTAAAATAAAGCATCTTTTATGCATGAATCCAGACCCAAAAGGAGCAAACAATTTGAAGGTAGCTGTAAATGGGAAACAGAGGAGGAAGAACACTAGCCTGCTTATAAATTCAGTGGTCCGCAGGTTTGTCTGTGGGTGTTCCTTAGCTGTGCTGCCATGTGGTGGGTGCTAGGGCATCTTAATGGAAGCACCGAGAAGCGCTGTGGAAAGCAGTGCCTTAAATCTTAAAACCATAATCTTTAGAATCTTAGCAAATTACTTTCCTGTGAAATTAACTATCCCTCTGATCCTGTTCTCTGTAAGGCTTGACACAATTCACTGCCCTAGATCTGACTGGTCCCTTTAGAACAAAAATTAAATCTTGCAATTAGGTATGTATTTAAACAACTGTAAAAATGAGTGGATGCTTCAAAAATGAGCAGAGGCCAGATGGCTTCTTTTTATTACCTCAGGTAGGGGGACCTGAAGCTCTGTAGGACTAGCTTGAAGTAGTTCTACCAGAAAAGAAGCAAACTGCTTGCAAATATAGCAAAGCTTGGGGACAAACAAAGTTGATTCACTGAAACTTGTATGTAAATGCACTTCAAAGCCAAGCACAGGTTGAATAGGCTGGTATTAGGCTGAAGCTTTGTAGTAAGACACTGGTTTGGAACTCTGTGAAGGCTGTAATCATAGTTGTTCCATTTCTGAAAGGAGAGCTGCATTTTTTTCAGCTGTTGTCTTTGTTCCCACAGAAGTCTTTCTCTAATTGTACTACCAGTGACCATTTTCAGGCACATGATGCTTTGCCTGCTCAGTTTCTGTCTCAAATTATGCAAGGAAAGAATTTAGACTTGAGAATAGCATTTGCCAGCTGTGTTTTCCCTTGGAGTTGAATACCAACTGCAGCAACTAGTTGAGTGAACTAGAACAGTCACTAGAGAACTATTCAACACGTGACTAGTCTTTAAGTACTGTATTGATCATTTTAAATAAGGTACTTATAAATAAAGACCATGCTAAAAATGTAGGTATCTAGAAACAATGTAGAAATTATATATAAAAAATGCAGGCTAGCAGGAAGTCATGTAGACCATCTGTATTTTAAAAGATGTTCTCAAATGGATAAAATCAAGGACAGTTCTTCAGGTTCTGTGAGGCAACTGTGACTTACAGCCACTGCAGTTTAGCCACCTATTTCCGATTCAATTTTTTTTTTTTTTATCCTTTGGTAAGAAACCATGCATAAAATTTTCAGCTCAAGTTGAAAGTTCTCAGTAACAGAACCAAGGCCCTGTGCTCCTTCACTAGCTATAGCTCATGTACACTTGCAGAACAGGGGCTTGTCCTGGTACAGTGGCCTGCAGAGAGAATGACCCACAGAAGCGAGGAGTCCGTTCAGGCTGCAGTTACCAGGACACCACTTACATAAGGTATGTGATTCTCCAAGTTGCATTATAAGCTAGTATCACTGTTTTCCTTTAAATGTATATTCCCCTGACCAGGCTTGCAATGAGCTGTCCTACAGGAAAGCAATATAAACAGACCTACCAGCAGGATCTCAAGTTGATCTCCCCTCTTACTGAAGCAATTCAGGTGTTTAAAAAAAAAAAAAAGACATAATGGTAAACGTAACCATGTTATGTCACCTTAATAAAAATTAGTAGCTTGCCTCTTTCGGTTGGAGCCATCATTATTCTGGATCCCATAAATCCCTACATGGTAGAAAATGCCAAAGCATTAAGAAGAGTTTTATGTAAGGCAGGTTTCTTATCTGAAGTCTCATTTCCAGTCAAACCTTCAATAATTGTACAAGACAAAACTTTGTAAATCCACATGAAACTTAGCCACAGAAGTATGCAGGTGTTGTCTTTGATGAAACCTACACTTGTATTTACTGGAATAGGAAAAAAAAATTAAGGAAAAGGCAGTGGCAATGTAGATGATGGAGTAAATATATTTGGTCTTGCTCATAAAGACTGAAAAAAGGTCTCCCATCTTCTGAATTTATGGAAATGACTCCTCATTACCTCCTCAGTGCCCACTGTTCTTCACTTTCAGTAGAGCAAAATTTGTGCCATGATTGGAGAGGTGCTGATTTACAAAAAAATCATTGTGCAGAATTCAAATTTTATATAATCCTCTGCTTGACTTGAATACCCAAGGTCTAGCTTTCACTGAGCCATTAGCAGTCAACTACTGGACTCGTCTCCAGGCTTTTCACAGCTTAACCATTTCAAGTTGCCTTTGACAAACTACTTGCTAGAAGTGTGGACATGGTGGGAAGGTGTCATAACTATCTACTTCAACCAGAAAGGACACAAACTCCATTGGATTCAGTCTTTTTTAATAAATTAATGTCATTCAAAATACAGTGCCAGAACATGATGCAGCTGAACATGCTAGTAAGGTTTGTCATGAAGCACCTGTGTTCATGTTAGATTGGCGGCGCCCCGCTACTGCTAGTGGTTCCTGGGATTAATGCCAGAGCAGCACTAGTCATCTGCTCTCCTGCACGCAGAGCACAGGATATTCCTGAACAGTTCGCTCCCCCCCAGAGTAAAAAAACCTGATAGCTAAGGGGTATCTATACACAATCACACTACAGTAATGCTTGTTATTAAATTAACAGAAAATAAAGACCTGGTTAATCCACACTAAAACTTTGTTTTACAATGGAAAAATACATCAGCAGCAGGAAGTAATATACATGAGCCAATGTTACTGTAATACAGAACGTGGAGACATTTACTGATTAAAGCTCCACACAGACCCGCACTATGAGGGCTGACAATCCCTATTGCAAGCCCAGCAACTTAAGTCCACACCTGGTAAACTACCAGCTGCTTGGAAGACCTGTATTCTAAATAGACAGGTATAAGTTAGTGAAAATAGAATACATGCACCTAATAATACAGCTTGACTGAACCTGCAGTCATTTTGCCCTGCATGTTACCATACAATGGAAGATCTACCCTTCCTACCACAGGTAGATCCATGGGATTTGTTTCTTTTTCTTTTAATGGCATTACTATACCAACATGGATATTAGTATTAAGGAAGTGCAGCACAGTCCTTTAATTAGGCC